GGCAACTTCCCCATTTATAAGGGTTGCATTGAGGTGTCTGTCTACCCAATGGTCTATAAGACGTGTTCGTAAGCTCATATGACACTACAACTGAAAGAGATCTTCTAATCCACTGGTCTATAAGGCACATGTGGTCTTCAATTTCACCCGATGGCGATTTTCCTTCGTCTTCTTCATTGATTCATCTACCTCAGTTGGCTTCATTGCCTTCATCGAGTTCGTCTTCTTAGGCCGACCTCTTCGACTGCTTTATACGGCTTCGTCACTTCGCTTCTTTCGTGGTTTTCACGTAGTTTTCTCGCCGCTGCTACGGAGCCCCAATTACACGAGGGCTCGGCTTTGACTCCCTCCTGCGCAAACTCAACCCGTCATCTCTTCCTCATCTGCGCGTTGCTTCTTCCTTATCTCTTCTTAAATGGTTGGCTAGGGCACGAGCGATTCTCCTTCGCCTCGATACAAAGTTTCTCTCCTTCTACTCGATTGCTCAGGATTGAGCGTTCCCACTCGCATTCTTCTCATCTACTCTCAGTTTGCACGCACGAGAGCTCCGGTCAAAGTCGCGACTCAAACTTTGTTTGAATCTCAGTTCTATGACTTATGTTCCTCCTCAACTACCCACTGCTTCAATTTTAAACCTTGGGAAGGCTTCTTATGTTGATATGGTCAGCTCTATGGGATCAGTGGATAATTACGTTTTCCCTTAGGTTTAAAATGAATCATTTGAAGGCCAGGGGAACAGTAACCTTATCAAGAAGGCGAGCAGAAAGAGTGGCAAACTAGCTCTAATTTTCTCTGATGTTAAAGTTTCTAACCTGATTGATAAATTTACCCTCATTGGGAAGTTCCAATTGGAACATCATAAAACGGAAATCGTTCGAAAGGCTTTTGAAGATCTCAAACTATTGGGATATTGGAAGGTTGGCCTCTTTGATGGGAGACATGTGATGATACAATTATCTAAAGTAGAGGGCTATGCCAAAATATTTTCCAAGAAGTATATGACAATTGATGAAAAATATATGAAATTGCTCAAGTGGTCTTCTAAAATTGATCGTAGCCAAGAACCTCATATAGTTCCAATATGGTTTAAACTATCTGGCCTAAAGTTGCACTACTTTAATCACCAAGTCCTCTATTTTATTGGAGTTGCACTAGGAAGACTTATAAAATTGGACATACCCACCTGCAACCTATCCAGGCCTTCGGTTGCAAGGATTCTTGTTGAAAGAGATATCACCCTCCCTGATGTAGAAGAAATATGACTTGGTACTTCCCACAATGGGTATTGACAGTCAATTATTGCAGAACAAAAACCCTACTACTGTAATCACTGTAAATTGTTTGGGCCCACACCTGTCAAATGCTTCAGGGTTCATTCACATTTAAGATCCAAACTTCCTGTGCATCTGGATTCTGATTTACCTAACATCATCGAAGTGGAGGAAAATATAGCAGAAACTAACGATCTTCCAGAAATGTTAAATGAAAATTTGTTTCATTAGGCTATTCCTCACCAGCTAGCTCAGCAGCTACTTCCCACTGTTGTTGAGGCAGTTCTTTCTCAGATCATAAATACTAAGAATTTGGTTGTAGAAAATGCTAGCTGAAGTGTTTTGAAACCAACTATTGCGAGAGACAAGGAAACCCACATCTCAGCTTGTTGTTGGACATCATGCGCCCCTTGTGCCAAAGATTGTCGAGCATGTGTAGGTTGTTGCACATCATGCGCCCCTTGTGCCTAAATGACAGTAACAGCTTGCTCGATCTAATGAGGTGGCAGGGTCATAGTAGAGAGCTCACGTAAGGTAGAATGTTGAACTTGTAGTTGGGGCACACCTAGGGCTGGACATTCCATATGTATGTATGTATGTATGTATATATGTATGCATGCATGGATGCATGCGTGCATGCGTGCATGCATGCATCACGGCATGCATGCATCACGGCATGCATGCATCCATGCATGCATGTATGTGGAGTTGTATTGTTGGTGGTGGAGTCCCTCTATGTGCGTTTTGTAATAGTCTTTTTTGGTAGTTGTAGGGATTTCCACCTCCCTTCCAATATGTACACCTTTTTTGTGATTAATATATACAGAGTCGTATAATGCTCTTTCTCAAATATATATATATATATATATATTATGTATGTATATTTCTTTGATGAGTTGTATTTTTAAGAAAAAATAATTGACTACAAGGCTACTGTGTATGTATGTATGTGTATGTATGTATGTGTATGTATGTATATGTTTGTATGTATATGTATGTATGTATATGTATGTATGTATATACATATGTGTGTGTGTGTGTGTGTGTGTGTTTGTGTGTGCGCGCACGCGTGTGTGAAAAAGAAGGCATGGAAGAGAGAGAGAAAAAAAGTTAAGGGATTGGAGATTTTCTTCAAGGATTGTAAGGAGAGGGAAGGTGAGAGATTTCGTCTTCATTACACTGTATGTATGTATATATCTATATATGTATTTATATATATGTATGTATGTATATATCTATATATCTATTTGTATGTATGTATATTTATTTGTATGATGTATGTATGGATGGATGGATGGATGGATGGATATATGTATGCATGCATGTATGATATGTATGGATGGATGGATATATGTATGCATGCATGTATGTATGTATGTATAGATCTATGTATGTATGAATGCACATGCATGCATGTGCATGCATGCATGTATGTATATATATATTATATAAAAAAAGAAGAAGTGAAGGAAGGCGAGCAGGACTACATGCCATTTCGGTGTGGTTCGAACGAGCAACTCGAAGAAAGGAAAACAAAAATTTCAGAGGTCGTTGAACTCAGCAGTTCCATGTAAGTATGTGGGTGTGGGTGTGTGTGTGTGTGCGCGCGTGCGCGTGTGTGTGTGAAAAGAGAAGTAAAGAAGGATCCCATCATTTCCTCTCTTCTTTAGCGCGAGCATCATTCACAAGGATGAAGGAAGGCGAGCAGGATTGCATGTCATTTCGATGTGGTTCAAATGAGCAACTGGAAGAAAGGAAAATAGATATTTCAGAGGTCGTTGGACTCAGCGGTTCCATTGTCTCCTTTACGGCTAGCCCTAACCACGTGATTCCATAATTGGCTTTGATTCCGCAGTGATCGCAAGGAGATGATGATTCTGTGTGTGATTCTCTGTGGTTGAGGAAGAAGAAGTGCAAATTAGCGATCCCGTCATTGTGTTTCCATTGAAGGACACATGAAGGACTTTTTATTTCAACGGGTGATATAGGAAGAACAAGAAGTTTTGAAAGTCCCTATATGCAGCGATCCCATCATTTTTTTTCTTTTTCGATGGATCGTGACCAGACCAAAACAAGGAAATCAGCTGGAGATGTCACAAGTGAACGCTTTGGCATCCTTTCTACATGATTGGGAGGAGCAACCATGTCAGTCCTGCGAACAAGGAGCAGACAAAGGCGAGACTCAATTCTGCAATTCAATCTTGGAGTTTTGGAGGTCTCTTCTATAGCAATTCCATCATTGCCTTTCCAAGGGTGAGGTTCTACAGCTGAACCTAGTGCAACTGAGAGAGGAATTTTAAAAAATTTCATGCATCACAATCTAGTCACAGCTTTCTAGTTAGCCCTAACCACAACTGTATAATGAGGATCACCAAAGAGAAGGCTAGTGCAACTGAGAGAGGAATTTTAAAAAACTTCATGCACCACAATCTAGTCACAGCTTTCTAGTTAGCCCTAGCCACAACTGTATAATGAGGATCACCAAAGAGAAGGCTTCAATTGGAACGGGGATGATGATGACGGGGAAGGAGATCAGTGGAAAAAAAATGCCTCTGTGGGGTTTTCTGTAACTGACCCGATTCAAACTCTCCAAGGGCTTCAAACGGGGATGATGATGACGGGGAAGGAGATCAGTGGAAAAAAAATGCCTCTATGGGGTTTTCTGTAACTGACCCGATTCAAACTCTCCAAGGGCTTCAAATTAGTTCTTAACAGAGAAATCTAGCAGTAGCGCTTATTGATTGAACTTGGCGGGAGCAAATAAGAATTTATTTTAACTTAACTAATTATACCCTTTTATTTATTTATTTTATTTTATTTTAGAGACCACATTAACATAATCAGAAGTTGTTCAAAATGATTTTCAAAAAACGGGTTTAACAAGCAAGGGACACTGAGCAGAAATTATTAGAAAAAGAGCATCCATAAAGTCATTCCCAAATAGTTCAGATAATACTAATGATGATGATGATCCATCAAAAACCATGAAAAACTTAATCTTGAATCTTATTGAATGGTGTGAGTTTGTTCTACTATGGATTGAACCGTGAATTATAAGCTTAATAACTCTTTTGTCCTCATTTTTTACTCGCAGAGACCATTCTAAATGTTGGCCAAATTCTATCAATACAATGGTTTTCCTCAAAGCTATTCATTTCACAATTATTTATGTTTTTTTTGCTTTACTGCACAGAATGAATGTCTAAATCCTAAAGTATTTCATGAACTATTTTATAAATGAAGTTTCCAAGGAAAAAAAAATGAAAGAATGAAAAGAGCAATGAGAACATGAAGCTGAAGGAATAATATCAATTTTCTAGTAGAGATAAAGTATAATTCATAGTCATCCGGTTGAGTTACATCTTAATAAACCATTTTCTAGAAAGAAGCTCGGCCAGTATTCTAATCAGAATGAATCAATCTACCAACAACAGAAAGAAAGAGGAATCTTAACTTGAGCCACTAACAACATATTGTGGAATATTGTGGATACTGGATATTGCGGACGCTGCTAATCAAATAATTAAGAAATGTTTTTTACTTAATTTTTAAATAACAACATGAAGCTAGATGACACCAAAATTCGTTCAAACACCGTGTAGTGATCAGTGAAGAATCTTCCATAAAACATATATCGACCACAAATTTCCGAAATATTAACTCGGCGCCAATACTTTATCTAGACTGCCTACCACGAAAGATTAAAAAAACAACAAATACTCGTAGTACAGAATTTTTCACACTAGTCAATGAACTCGGTTCATCTGTCTCCACAAGGTCAACTAGCAGCTCAAACAAAGCGATAAACCCTAGACCAGGCCAGCCCCACGTCATCCAGAAAATCCTGAAAATCTAAAAAATGTTTTTATTTCCCAAATCAATGACATAATATCATCAAATTGAAGCGACCAATATCATGTAATTACGTAAGAATCAAGCAGCAAACCCTCAATGAATGAATGAGTTGAAGAAAACAGAAAAAAGAACAAACCAGCAGATCGGCAGCTTTAGAGGAAGATTCTTCCAAAAGGCAGCTCCTTTCGTTCCAGCACTCCAATCCGTAGTCTCCTGATTTCTATCTAACAGCTCTCAGCAGCAGTCGATGTATTTTTTGAAATATAAGTAATGTGAAAAAAAATTAGTAAAAGAAATTTTAAAACGATAGAGCCGGCGGTGATCAGAACCGTTGGTTGGGCATGCCCGAAGCTTAGATATGAAGCGTGGAGGATGAATGGCCAATAAATCCATTAGGCACACTTGCTAAACAGCACAAAATTATTACTGTTATTGTTATGTGTGAGAAATTTTATAGTGATAGAATGCCAATTTAATAATATAAAATTAAATAAAAATTTAATATAAATACAGATAAATTAAAAATAGCAGAAAAAAACACCAAAATATTTATGTAGAAAAATTCGTTGTGTGAAGGAAAATTACGAGGTCGAGATCTAGTCCAGTTAATTATAATACATATATATATCCCACAAAACATACATATATATATCAACTCTTCTCCTAAATTAAAGAATGTACATATATATATATCAACTCTTCTCCTAAATTAAAGAATGTTGAATTACAAAGCTGCTACTCACATATTTAAAATAGTTGTTTGGCAATAATAATTATAATTGGGTCACAAGAGATGATTTTTGTCTGTAATATCAATAGTTTGCTACAAAGGTCTTAATTGATTGTTACAAAGGCTTTAATTGGTCATAAATGATATAATTAGTGGTTTCAATATCTATGGCCAGCTACACATTTCGTATTTGAAAAATGTAACAGTGGTAAATGGCTACAAAGGTCACAGTTTCTTGTTATAGAGGCAGTTGTTGGTCAGGAAGGTTGTCGTTAGTGGTTTTAATAGAGGTAATTGTCCATAAAATTCATAGTTGAAAGTTGTATCGGTAGTAGTTTGTCATAAAGGTCGTTATTATTTGCTATAGAAGCAATAGTTGGCTACAAAAGTCGTAGTCGGTGGTTGAACCCATTCTCTTTGGATAGAAAGAGTAAAGTTATATTTTTACTCAAGAAATAGCACTTGTCTTTATATTTCATAAAGAAAATATAAGTGTTAGAGACAAGAGTAGCATTTTGGCTATGATGGTCGTAAGCAATGGTCAGTGGTGGCAGATGATGATTGCATGTGGTGATTGATTATGGTTGGCATGTGGTAGTTGACAATGGTCAGCTTGTAGTGGTCGGCGGTGGTTGGTAGCTCTGATGACCAATGGTTACTTTTCGGGTCTCCAATATGGGTGCTAGATGCAACAACCATATTTTGAACATAATAGTTGCAAAAAAGGGTCACTAGTAGCTGGTGATCGACAACGACATGTGGTGGCAGTCAACGGTGGTCGATTGTGGTCAGTAGCTACGAAGGTCGACAGTTATCGAGGGGTCTTCAACACATATGTTTGACACAACAATCATTTTTTGAGTACAACGACTGCAAATATAGATCGTTGGTTACTGATGGTCAATGGTTGCAAGCGATGACGACCACCGGTGGTCAATTGTGACAGACACGACCATCAATTACACAGTTATTTAACTTCCAAAAGATGACAAAAAACTTGACCTAAATTATATTTAGCGGCTAGTGTGCAAAATCAATATGTTATAAAATTTACAATTTTTTATTAATAGTTTACATACTATGGGTTCTACGCAAGTATACGTATCATTTCAAGTAATATAGGGCTTTCTATCGATCTCACATAGAAGAAAGGTAAGAAATCACTTAAGCTAATTCTAGTCAACTACTATCATGTCTTAGTTTAAAATTTTTGAAAAGTTTGGTTTTCTGAAAGTTCTTTAATTTATTTAAAATTAAAATTAACTAAATTAAATAAAAACCAAATCTAAGGAGACTGTGCAAATTTTAGAAAGTTCTAATATAATTAAAATTATTTTCCCCTTGTGATGAGATCATAATCATCATAGGAATCAAATGTTTAAAGATTAAAAATTTTATATTGTGATAAATAGAAACATATCTATTCTTTACCCATTTCGAGCATAAAGGACATTGACTCATCTAAAGTTAGTTCCAGCTTGTGTGGTAGTGCTGAGTAGATTCTAGCCTCTCACTTCCAGATTACCCACTACACTCTCTCTATATGACCTACTAGGGACCCTTAGTTCCAACATTAGACCAAATTGGTTAAAATAATCTAACATGTCACCCACACCCTAAAAACACCATTTCTACGCCACTCAAAACATATCTCCCAATTTATTTGCATTCACCCTTGAAAGTTGCAACAGCTCCATCCAAGGAATAGTGTGGTACTCACTAGTTTGTAAAATCATAACCCTCCGGGTCGTTATGTTTCACAACGCATTTTAACATTACAAGTGATCAATTTATAAATTAAATTAAGAATAGGTGAAAATACCATCACAATTTTAAGAATAAAGGAAATCCTCAAAACATTCTAACCACGTGCATGATTAAATCTCATCACAAGGACAAAGAGTAAGGAAAGCTACTCACTAAGCATGGAGAAAACACAATAAAAAACTTTGTTTAAATCAAATCAAATTCACTATAAAATTGTTTACAATAATTAAAGATAATGATGAACGCAATACTTAGTTTTTTCCTCTGATAGAAAGATGAAAATCTATCCAACAAAGTCTCCTGCTAATCCACACAAAGTTCTTATAATTCTTTTTCAGATATCTCTCAAAATCCCTTACCAATCTCTCCAGAAAAGAAAGAAATCTACATTCTTATCCTATCTATGACCTCTGGGTGTTCTTGGAAGTTCCAAGAGTTTGAAAAGCCAAAATGTGCTTTCTCAAGTGCCAAAAGGTGCTGTTTAAGTCCAAAAAATTGAGCAAAAGCCATCTGTAACCGTTTATGGTGTTTAGGCGTCAGTTTCGGGCGCCGAGGTGTTGGTTCGGGCACCTAGGCACCATTTTTTTTGTATTTTGCTCTGATTTTTGCTCCAAAAAAATGCGTCAAATCAAAATTTTCTTCCTTGCTCGATTTGACTCCAAACTAGACCATTTTTACTCCTTTTACTTCAAAAGCCCATCTTTCATCCCTGCAACCAAAAACATGTACAATGTCTTCTTTTAAAGTAAAATATCATTAAAAATTATCATGAAATGTATACATATAAAATCAAGTAATTTTTAGGCGTGTCAATTCCCCCAAACTTAAACATTACTTGTCCTCAAATAACAATATAACTTTAAAAACCAAATTTGTTGATTTGAAATAATGGGTTTCTGTAGAATTTCCTATAATTTTGTCTCAAAAATGTTATAGTGTAACTTAGGTGAAATTCTAACCAATCAAACTAGTACTAGGGTGTAAGAATATCCCATATTCAACGTAGGCATCTTAATTTTCTATTTACTTCAAAAGTTATTAAAATTTGTCAAACAAAAGATTCTTATAAAGTTTAAAAACAGAATTTAAGCACCTTATCTATACCAATTTGACCAATAATTTTTTGAAATAAGGATAAGCTTAGGATTCTTTCTAAGTCTATTTATTTAAAAAGATTCAAGTGAAACCAATTTTTGATTAGGCTTCCCCTCATTTTTCATTTCTTTTTTACTTTTTCTTCTTCTTTAATTTTAATTTTCTTACGAGCATTTTCAATCCTTTTATTTTCTTTTCTTTTTCATGTGAGGATTATTATATCTAGATTGACCTTTAATGATTTTGAAGGTCACTATCCTCTTTCTAAAGTTCAAAACTCAAAACTTTCCCTTACTTTTTAAAAGTGGAAGTATTAGTTTGAAAAAGTTTCAATAAGGGCTCAATTCTCATAAAATATAAATCTAATAATCTTAGTTTTCCAAATATTCAACTTCTTTCTACCATAAATAACAAATATTTTTTTCTAATCTTTTCTACAAAATATCTTAACTCTAGAATTGTTTCATCACATAGGATCCCAACTAAGTTTTTTCTAACATTCCTAAAGACAAAGTTATAGTAACCTAAAGACAACATTGCATACCCCACAAGTCATTTTAAAAGTGATATCAAATTAAATATATGCTAATGGGATAAATAAAGTTTAAGTTTGAAAGTTATTTTTCTTCTTCCTCCCAAACTTGAATTTTAATATGTATAGTATTGAGTACAAAAAATATAAGCAGAAAGAAAAATCACAACCCAGAAGTACAATCTGCCTCGAGTTTCTATCAAAATATCTGCAAATATACTCAGGATCGAACAGTGTGCAGTAGAAAGTAAATCTAAACTAAACATGTCAAAATGGAATTGACTAAACAAAAGTTTAATTAGCATAACTAGTATCAGCATAGGAATATATATTTAAGTGTTCTCCAAGTCCTCTATAGTGTTTTAATACAAATAAAAACACACTTGATAAATGACATTAATTATTCCTTTAACTTATCACATCTCACAACTTTACTTCTAATTTTTAACGAAATCACTACATTGATAAATTGGGTACTTATAAATGATTTTATAGAGTTTACTCCCATGGACACTATGACCCCTGATATATTAGCAATTGAGCACAAACCCTATGCATCACCTTATCCCACTAATTATGCACCTCTAATAGTTATAAGGGTAGTTGATCCGGTCGATATTATAGTTGTGTAAAATTATATAGTTGACTCTGCTATGCAACGGTGCCAAAAGTTTGATGCAATATTTTATAAATAAGAAATTTAAGCAATTTATGTTCGGATTCTACGCAAGTATACATATCATTATGAAGTAATGAAGGACTTTCTACTTAAGCCCCAAATATTGATCCTACGAGGAAGGTTTACTTAAGCCTCAAATATTGATCCTACGAGGAAGGTTTAAATTTAAAATGATAAATTTACTAGGAAATTCACAGAAAGTCAATACAAAATTACTATCACTAATTTCAAATATTGAGATATTTTCAGAACTAAATTATTTAACTAATAACAAGATTGAAATACAAAGTTTAAACATAAACTACTAATTTATTAAACTATTAAACTATGTTTATGTGATGAAGATTTCTTATGTTAAAAAGCATATTTCTCACTACAATGAGGTTCTGGTAAAATGAGATGAGATAAATGGTTTTAATATGTATTATGCCAAATAAGAGTTAAATAGGATCAGTTTTAATTCTTTA